TTTAAATATGGAGTACCGTCTTTTCATTTTTTTAAGGTGAAGACTAGGTGGACCAAAAAAGAGACATAAAAGCTATCGCCTTTTTTTTTTTTTTTTTTCAATATATCTTTCCCCAGTCCCGTTTTTACATTGTAGACTTCTTTTGACTGCGCAGCTATTGGGGGCGAAAATGTTTTTTGGTGTTTGGAAAGACCCTAGTACATCCTGTGTGCTACTGTAATCTATATAAATAGTAATAATATAATGCACAAATCCATTTGTTGTTTGGGTGTTTCCAAAATATAGTAAAGCAACTAATGCTTTCATCTGTAGCTTACTTCCTTAATCTCATAGGGAATCCAGTTCATGATTACATATCCCTTAATACATGGAAAATAACAACAGGTCCCATAGCTTTAAAAACTCCATATTCCATATCTTCTTTCTCTCTTTCTTATTCCTGCAACCCTCTATGCACCCACTACAGAATAATAGTTGGTGAGAGAGAAAAACTAAGATTAAAATGACTGTTATAAAAAAGATTCCATTTTATCCTTGTTCCTGTCTAAAAGTTCATCTCCTTACTGGTTCTGCCTGTGTTATGTCAGATGAAATGTAGAATAGTTTTCTTGACAGAGCTGTTTATCAAATGGAATTCTGGGTCTTGTGCCTGGTGCATACATTCATCACATTTGCAGTTGCTCCTTTTAATGAGGGAGGATGGGAATAGCAGGGCAAACCACCACTTTCTCTTCAGTTGGGGCCTCCAATCTGGGGAGTAGGTGGAGAGTAGAAGAGGCTGCTCCTTCGCTTGGCTCCCAGTTCCCTTTGCCCTCAGCTGGGCCAGGAGGGTGGCAAGGAGAAGCCAGTGGGGACCAGAAACCAGGTTTGTGGGCGGCTTCCCCAAGCCCAATTCTCAGTCCCTGGGCTTTGGGAAAGAAGCAGAGAGCAGTGGATCAATCTGGGAAGACGGGATCAGTCACTAGCTCATTCCCCAAACTGGGCAGTCTCTAGTTCGGAAAAGAATCAGGGAGGAGCTGTTGCTGCTTCCTTTCCATCCCAGACCACACCAAGGCTAAGTACAGACATTCAGGAGGTTAAATTGGGTTCAAAATGTCCACCCAATTTAAACTTACCTCATTCCAGTGTTGACCTTACACTTTCAGACCCAGTCTCAGTGACCGGCAATCAGTCTAAACTTGTAACAGAGTAGAATTTCCATATGCACAAACTGGTTTAAAATGGCAGAGCCCAGTTCAAGATAAACCTGGATCTGTTTAGCATCAGACTAATTTGATTTAGGTTAAACTGGTACATAGAACTCCTGTACACTTTCCCTGTGCAGACCCGAGGCTGGGAAAATCCAACCATTGGGCAGCCCAGCCCCAGGGTTGGTCTTTTCATTCCCCTCTTCCCCTGCACTGGTCTGTTTTTTGCCCCCTGGCCTCTTGTTCCCCCCCCAGCCAGCGCTCTTAACCCCTGTCCCACAAGCTGCTCCGGGTGCAGCTGCTTTTATCAGCAGTCACTGCTGCCAGAGTTAAGAAAGTAAGTCCCAGTGGGGGGAGGGGCAGGAGCGATGGGGGTATAATTTTACTGGGGGGGAACCCCCCCACCTCACCCATGGGTCACATCTGCCTCCCATCCCACTATCAGGTCACTCCTGCCCCCCACCACACATGGACCCACACCCACCAATGCACA